GCATGTGGAGGAGGAAGATGAAATGTCTCCTCATCTAAGATAGAACTTTATGTGTACTAAAAGAATCCACCAGTAATTTGTGATAAATCAGTTGAAGATGAAAAAAAAAAGTTCAAAAAATTATTAGAAGATGACCTTATAGCTAAGACAATGCTAACTTTTATGCAAGATGACCTTATTAAGTTATTCGAATATTATGAAACATCTAAGAAAATGCTAGATGCAATGAAAGCAAATGTGACACAACATCTGAAACTCACCTCCAATTGCTATTGGAGCAATATAACTCATTCAAAATGAATGAGGGTTATAATGTAGTAGATAATGTAAATAAAATGCTAGTTATAGTAAAAGACTTAGCCATTGTTGGGAAATAATAAAATGCTAGTTATGGCTAAAGACTTAGCCATTCACAATACTCTCATTAAGGTCCATGTCTCATTTTTCATCAATGGGCTATATTCATCTTGCATTGCCTCCATCCAATTGGATGCCTCAAATGATCTTATGGCCTCTTTAAAGCTTATGAACTCATCATCAAGTTCTACATTACACCCATAGTAGTCATCCAAGTAACTAGGTCTCGTTGTTTCCCTAGTACTTCTCCTAGGCTCTATCATAATAGGATTACGGTTAATACTACCAGGTTCTCATAGGAATTACTAGTTTGTCGCATTCTTCTTCTCCTATTTCTATCATTGTTTGTTGTTTTCCCTTCTGCATTTCTCCTTCCTCAAAGAAATAAGCATCTCTATTTCTATGATAGTTTTAGTTTCATGATCATAGAATTTATAACCCTTAGAGTGACTAGAGTACCCAACAAAAGTGTATTTAATTAGTTTAGGTCCTAGTTTATCCCTCTTCTCACGGGGAATATGAATATGTGTCATAGAGCCTCATACCTTGATATGGCCTAGGTAAGGTTTTCTATGCATTTTTCCTTTTAAGCAAGTTTCACAGTTGAAATTTTTCTTTACTAGATTAGGGATAACATTTTGTTTCATTAATCTACTTAATTTCTCATAACCAATAACCATAACCAATTCAAAAAAAAAAAATTCTCATAACCAATATTACCAATCCTTCTATACCAAATATTAAAACACTCATCATAAGCAAATGGTATTTTCATTCTATTTTCAAGGTCAAGTTTCTACATGTTGCCAACCATTGTGGCCTTTACAATAAAAGCACTATTTTTCTTGATAGTCATCTTTCCATCGCTTACATAAATTTCACCCCCCCCTATCAATCTTAGTGAGAGAACTAAATTTTTTCTCATGTCAGGAGCATACAAAACATCACTAAGAGTCAAAATAGCACCAGATGGGTATGGAAGCTTAATTGTCCATTCTCCAAGATTGTTAAGCTAGACGAGTTACCCATAAAAAGTTTCCCAACACCATCATCGTTTGCTTTGAACTCTTTGTTTTTGGTATTAGTGATGTGCCTAGTAGCTCCAAAGTCTACCCACCATTCATTGGGGGAGCTCACCATTATTGACTCTTCAACCATAAAGGAGAAGTCCTTGGAGCCACTACTTTGTCCAATATTCTTCTTCTTGGGTTCCCTACAAAATTTAGCAATATGACCAAACTTGTTACAATTATAGCACTTCTAAAACTTGTAGGAATTTTTAGGATGGAAAGGTTTCTTAGAATTTTTGTTAGGAACTTTGTTATCATTTTTCTTGGCCATTACTAAATAAGCTTGGTTTTTAGCTTTATCATCCTGTTTTTTAATTCTATCATTCTCGTCCATCCTCAAATGTCCTCTAAGGTTATCCAAAGTATGGATTGTACTATTATGGCACAAGTTCTTTTTCAAAGCTTTCCAAGAATTTGGAAGGTTCTCTATAATTTTCATATTTTGTTGATGCTCACTTATGGGCTCCCCATAACTGGCAAGTTGATTGGCCATAATATTCATATCATCAAAATACTCTACCACCGATTGACCATCTTTAATCTTATACATATTGTATCTTTCATATAGCTCACATTTAGCAATATAATTATCATCGGTGTGCCTCTTTTCGATTGCATTAGCATTAGCATTAGCATACTTTTCAGATACTTTGTGCAACCTATTACTCAAATAATAGAGAAGACAAGCTTACTGCAAAACAATGATTAACAAATAATCTAGAGAGAAAAATAATTGTGAGATGCAACATGGTGCAGGAATGTATTTTGTGACACTAGAGGGTTCTCATAAGAGATGAGAGGCACGTCCCTTGTACCCAGCTCACAAGGAAACTTAATAGAGAAACAGAGGTTTTAGAAAGAGAGGGAGTTCCTGCAAAAGTTCCTTGGCCTCTTAAAACCCTTTCCTATATACAGCTGTAAAAGGAAAAATGAGAGAGATACTTGAGGAGAGAGAATGGCCATGTGTTGCCTTTCAATGGCCACTTGTCCCTCTCTTCACGTGCTTCTCCCTTTTTCTCTACAAAAGAGATTAGTTCCCTTTAAAAATAAGTTTTAAGTGGGAAAAAAAAAAGAAATAAATAAAATGAAAAATGGGCCCGCATTTTGCAAATATTTGGAAATACATTTTCTCGAATATCTACCTAGGGATATGTTTGTCAACATGAATTCTGGGATTATCGTCTTGTTATCACATTCTGTATTTCAGAAACTAGGTATGCATGCACTTTTGTACTTGGAAATGCATGCATGTGCATCTGGAGTGGACATTTTTCCGTGTAATTTACTCATAGGCACATCTTTATGTTTACAAGGGTGGCATATATCGGTTCATGTAGGCCTAGCAAACTTGTGTCTGTGCTACAGATGAGGTAGCTCCCTGCATGTTTGCACCCAACAACTGTTTGAATTTGTTGCTGATTTTCCACCACAGTTTTATCTAGTCTTTTCTGTTTAGATATGGCTACTCACCAACCTGTGTATGTTCTTGTTTTGTATAAGACTTTGTCTTGGTAGAATGGGCATTGAAATATCTTTTAGGCATAGCTAAGAGGGCACAAGGAGATTAATATCTTATGTGAGAAGAAATGGAAGGCTTAAGCTGGTAAACTTGTAAATATAATGGAAGAGATATCTGAAAACCAATTCAAGTCGTTGGTCATAACTGATTTTTTCTGATCAAACTAGTTATAGCTGATTTGGTTTCTTTTTTTAATATAATTTACTTTATTTTCTGCTTGTTGAAAGAAAACAGCGTCAAAACGATGCCCATGACTTAAACAAATCAGGTCCAAGTTAGCACATTTTAAAAAAAAAAAAGAATCAAGTCCATTATCCAAGTGGGTGAAGTTGATTGATCCTACTCTTTGTGAACTATAGGCAAGGGCTATTAGGTTTGAATCCTACTGCCTACTTATTAAAAAAAATAAAAGAGGAATCAATATTTGGCTTTTGCAATACCGGATTTCCTCGTAGAAGTCGGACGATGCCTCATTTTCTTGTTGGCATTGTGAAACCAGTGGTTGACCCATCAGGGTTGACAAGATAGAATTCCTCGTATTTTATCGAAGATGGAGGAAATAATGATGCCATATGTCTGTTTTCATACTTCAATTAGTTTTACAAAATATGCTTCTTGCTAGACTTGTTTACATGCTTGAGGGGCTGAGGAAGCATAGTGAGAGATGCTAGCCCATGGTGATCTATGCAAATGATGAAAATGATACATGCAACATGTTGGATGGACATTAGTATTCTAAGTATGATTAAATAAATCAGTAAATAAATGAATAAGGCGTTTTAGTTACGATAATCTTGAACAATATTATTTATTAGGTTAGAGGAGTGACTTATTTACCTTAGAAAATGATAAACTCTTTTGCATACCATAATGGAGCTATCAAATTACCCAAAATCATATTAGTCTTTTTTGGCTATTCTCTCTCAACATGTTTCCTAGACTAGTGCACATGGAAAAGTACCTTAAGACTCAATAACTCAACTTGGGATTCCCTAGTTGGCTTGATTAATTTATTTACAGTCAGGAGCCACAAGTAGCCAGAGTCTTGGATGAGTCTGTTGGTCAAATAAAGACTCAGTGGACTCCTCACTCAGATGAGTCCATGCATTATGCTTTCCTAGCATCAAACCATAAATTGCAACAGGCCATTTGACTTCTTTGTTTTCTAGGCTTCGAAAATTCCTAAATAAAATTACAAGTACAGTTGCATTCCTCTTTTCATGCAGAAATGCAAATATTAGGTTCCATGTTGCATTTGTTTCTACTAGGGTTCTTGGAGAAGAATGATCACATGCGGTTCTTGGAGATGTTTGATCACATGCAAACACCTTTTGTTTGATTCATTACATCATTTTCTGCATGTTCTTGTTTTGTTGTCTTGCGCAAGTCTGAGCCTCAACTTTCTTCAGTGACAACACTAAGTCTTGTGTTGGTAATCTATCTATGGGAGTGACTTTAAATTCGAGAATGGTTAAGACTTCTGATGGCAATTCCCATATTGGCAGTGCTCCATGAAATTCTGGACTGTATTTTTGGAACATGGACTAGGATAGCTTTTACCCCCCCCCTTTTTTACTGTGTAAGGTGTGAAGCTCAACTGTGGAGTATGGTCATGAATCCATGATCACAAAACAGGTAACCATAATTTAGAACTCGGAAGCCAGAAACTCTTAGTTATTAATGGCATGCCTTGTCTGAAACCTCACGTTGTGTGGTTTGGGAGTCGGAAGATGAACACATTTTGTGATTTGTTAAGTCCGATATGGTATTATTTCTATACTTGCGCTGAGACAATTATTATGGTATACATAGCATATGTGCGTGTACATGGATATATATAAATTTGTTCTAATGATGTGCTTGATCTCAATCATTTCAATATGTATGTACATCTGAAAGTTGTTAATATAGCAGATGCTCTGCCTTTTTTTGAATATGGAATGTCATTTCCATAAACTAGTTATGTCTTGGAAGATTCAGCTTGATATTTCATTGAAATAGTTTCGTTGTAAACAACTGAGTTTGGTAGATTCATTCACCTGATGACAACCAACATGTATCGTGCCATCACTAGTGCGTACTATCGAGGGGCGGTTGGTGCACTGCTGGTCTATGATGTCACCCGCCACATAACATTTGAGAATGTGGAGAGGTGGCTCAAGGAGCTGCGCAACCACACTGATGCCAACATCGTGATCATGCTCATGGGGAATAAGGCTGACGTTCGCCACCTGAGGGCTGTCTCCACCGAGGAAGGCAAGGCCTTTGCAGAGAGAGAGTCCACATATTTCATGGAGACATCAGCCATGGAATCAACTAATGTTGAGAATGCCTTCACTGAGGTGCTCACACAAACATATCGAGTTGTAAGCAGGAAAGCCCTTGATGTTGGAGAAGATCCTGTGGCTGCGTCATCCTTGAAAGGCCAGACCATCAACATGGGTGGCAAGGATGATGTTTCTGCAATGAAGAATGTGGGCTGCGGCTCAACATAGCATCATTCTTGGCCAGACTAGGTAAGACAGTATGCGTCTTTTAGTGTTTATTACTCGTTTTGCATTGTAGGCCCTCCATACTAGTCTGTTGTGCAGATTTTTAAAATTTCTATGCTTCCACTAATTGGGATCAGACTTCTGTTGGGAACTTCCTTGCAAGAATGTATTTTGCTCCTCACTGATAGTAGTCTAAATTTTATTTCGACGTCTTACTATAGATAGGTCTTCAGATTTCTTTTTTTTTTCGATGTATTATAAAATCCATTGGTACGAGTGCAGTTGAACCCATCGTTGTTTGTCATGAAAGAGAGGCACAGAAGGAAATGTCCATTTTATTTGTCAAATGCTTTTTAGATTTGTTTACCCCCTTTGGCAAGCCTGCTCCCAAGCCAAAATATGGATCCTGTATGATACAAGTGTAAGCATTGCTCCAGTTGCAGACTAGGCTGGGGATGTGTGATAAGGTGAAGGGTTTATTGGATCAATCGATTTTGGCTGGGAAACATATGCCTTTGCGCTGCTGGATGACGATTTTCACATTCCCGTCCGTTCAAATGAAGTCCTCTACATGAATATGTTAATGTAGATTTTCTGCAAGGGCTAGTGAAGGTGCCATGAAGTTTTCCTATGTCGGGAATGCATGGATCCCTATTTTTGGTATTTTGAAGTGGGAAGGCTATACAGGTGGCTCAACCCATAAATAAACTTATGGTTGTTATTCTCGGCTCCGATTTGAATGCACCTTTGAGATAGCTTTAGTCATAATGTCACACGTTAGCCTTTGCGTGTTCGATCTTGAATGGACAATTCATAGTATTTTATTTTTAATTTTTATTTGAGAAATCATTTTGACATTAAAGTTGGGCTCTACCCACATCATTTTGACATATATATATATATATATATATAGAGGTAAAAGCATATGTTAGCCAGCTCGCACACCCCTTTCCTAGGTGCCAACGGCGGTCAGCTTATGTTCGATGGACGGTCTTGAAAGAATTTGCCTAACGTGGCCTTTTCCATTCAAAATAAATAATTTTATAATGTACTCTGACACTTCGTGCACTGAGTACTGACTCAAAATCAGATCTCTCTCTCTCATGAACGACCTTTCTCTTTGCCTCTTATCTCTCACGTTTTATTTACCCAAAAAAAGGGCGTTTATCTCTCCTCTTCTCCAACAGAGAAGAAGCTATGTTCCTGCCTCTTCCACTTCCATGTGCCAAGCTGCTCCTCCCTGTGCCAAAAGAAGGGCTTTTCTCTCTTCCTCTTCCCTGTGCCAACCCTCTCCTCCCTAATATTCCCTTTTTCAACTTCTCGTTGTTCCTTTTTTTTTTTTTTTAAGTTTTCTGTCGGGTTTTTAATTTTCCGGTGAGTTAGGGAATATCTGATTTTTATTTTTCTTGTTCTTGATTAGGCGGAGGGATGGAGGTTATTGCAACTTGGCTGAGGCCTCTGGTCTGATTTTGGTTAGTATTTTGAGCTCGATCAAGCTTTTCTGACTACTGTTCGTTCATTTTTCAGACTGCATCTCGTTTTTCGGCTATCATATGTTTATTTTTCAGGATAATAGTACTGTTTTAATCTGTGTATTTAGTTTAATTATGCGAATATTGTCAATCATCCTGTTGATTTTTTGTCTTTTTATGTTATTATTGTTGATTTTACGGCGATTAGTGCAGTTTTATAGTTGTGATTCATTTTTTTAATATAATTGTTTTGTTCTTGATTGATTAGGGTTTATGAAATCTACACGGTAGGGATTTTCTCTGAAACGGTTTTACAAAGTTGATTTCGCAGTCAAAATTGCCGCTTCGTGTTGACAGAGATTGTAGTTCAATTTTAGCAAGTATTTTCATTTTTATCTTACTTTCCCATTTCATTTATCAAAGAGTTCAATCTCCGTTACTTTCAAATTTAATAGTTTATATATTTGTACAGATCCTCTATCTCTCTCTATCACAATGTTTTTTGGGCATGGTTTCACATATCTACCTCTCTACCTCAAAAAAATTTTGGGCTTGATTTTTTCTCTTTTGAGGAATCTATTTGGGGGGAGTTTGGGTATGGTTTTACCAATTTTCCGCTATTTCTCTCTACCTCAAACATATACTCGTTGAATTTCTTAGAAATTACAATCTTTGAGTTCTCAATTTCCATCATCGATTTGGGGGGAGTTTGGGTCTTTTAGTGGAATCCCAAACAATTTTGGTGGAATCCACCAAGATTTTTTTTCTCGCTTTACCTCTGATGGTTTTTAGGGCATATTTGTACAGATCCTCTATCTCTCTCTATCTCAATGTTTTTTGAGCATGGTTTCACATATGTACCTCTCTACCTCGAAAATTTTTAGGGCATGATTTTATATTTGCATTGGAATATAATTTATCGGTTGAGGTTTTGCCATTATATAAATGGGTTGGTCTGTTAAAGTGGCTCTCAATTTCTGAAGCCTGGGCTTTGTAGTTGATGATATTTGTTTCCTTCATGAGAGTGAATTATAGGAGTGAGGCCATAACAAAGCTACTTATTATACCTATTATATACCTATTATGGAGAAGGTTGTGTTATATTTTGCATACACAAACACAATGAATTGGTGTGACTGGATATTTGTGAGTGCAGGGCAAGTAACTTGGATAGATACTGTGTAATTAAATTTTTTCTTTCTCAGTTGTAAATCTCTTGCATAGACCACTGCTTTCAATAGTGCTTTGGTTTTTCATGCATTTGATATATTTGTTATTGTTGAAATACGAAAAGGTTAACAAAAAGCATTGTGTTTGGGAAACTCCAACACAACATGGAGAAAGAAATAGGTTGGATTCAATTGTGAGTTTTTCTTATGGGGTTTGAAAGGGTGCTTGCGTTTATGAAATTTACAAAAACAAGAAAATTGATTTCAGTGTCAAATTCTAATCTGACTATTGATTGTTATGTCTGAATCGAACTTGTTGAGTTCAACAAACCATTGACGAGGTCACTTCTATGTGCCTTGTTTTTTATTTTCCTCATTACTGTTATTATAGTGCTTTTGTTTTCATGCATTTGATATATTTGTTATTGTTGAAATACGAAAAAGCTAACAAAAAGCATTGTGTTTGGGAAAGTCCAACATGTGCTCCACGATATGGAGAAAGAAACAGGTTAGGTTCAATTGTGAGTTTTTTTTATGGGGTTTGAAAGGGAACTTGCGTTTATGAAATTTACAAAAACAACAAAGCAATCTCAGTGTCAAATTCTAATATGACTATTGATTGTTATGTCTGATTCTATTCTGATCAGGCAGCCCATATTTCCAAAGAGAATTCAAATATGAATTGCTCATCAAGATATTCTGACTCATTAGATTTAGGGGGTCATAGAATTGATGAACCACACAAGAGTAAAGGGCAGATATTCTGATGCTCTGCTGCCTCAGCACCTTTGTCTAGCAATGGCTATTGGGAAAACCACTCTCGTGGCTTGGTCTTGAATAATAAGCTCCCATATCAACTCTCAAACCAGTTCTCTTTTATCATCGTTACTGGCAAATAATTATCTTGAGCCAGTCACCTGCAGGCTCCACTCTCACATTCATAGGCACTGACTGTGAGGGTGATCACACAAATTAGAAGAGCTACCCTCTGATGCTCCGTTCATTTCTATCAGCCTTTTACATGGCTTTGCACGTTGCCAGAGACCAACCCTGGAGGGGCACAAAAATTCCTAATCCAGGAATTTTTCCACCCAGCCATCATTCCAAAGGAATTTCCTTTTTTTCAGGGAAAGAGAAACCCCCCATTTCTTTACTCATACTTTATCATTCTCATGTGGTACCCTAAGGAATGCAGTTGAAAGTTGAAAATAGCAATAACCATCAGAGTTTCCCGATTTCGAGCTGTAACCAATCTTCCAGGCCATAGTTTCCCACAAGCTGAGCTTCCACCTCCACCAAGACAACAGGAAGATATTGGCCTAATGAACAGGGTCGTCGTTCTTCTCTTATTGACACCATATCTCCTACATTGTAACAACATTTAGATTTTGGGACATTTCGTGTTTGCTTGAATTCACCTCAACCTATGTGGTTCTTGCTTACTATCTTCTAGTCCCCTTGTCTGCCTAACAACAACTATTTTTGTAACAAGTAAATGTAAGAAGCCCCACAAAAAATACCCAAAGTTTTACTTTTATCAATATTTCTATATTGATTGTCGTTTTTTTAGGGAGAACATCTGTGTGAATGGTTTTATCTATTGTTTACTTTCTAGAAATTTTAATGGTTTGGAGATAGGCATAACATATACTCGTTGAAATTCTTCGAGAACCAATTGGGGCAATGTGGAACCCTTATTCATTAATTTAGAAGTTTGTTTTTTATTTGGTGTCTTACGCTCATTTTCTTAATCTTTCCTTCTTCCTGATGAATTTAATTATATCTATGAGGTTCGTCATTGTTAACCATCTTAGATAAATGGATTAAGAATGGTTGTGATGATTTTTTTAATATATTCGTTATGATTTCTTTATAGAATGGATCTCGACAACCAATTCCCTCCAAGGATTTGTAAACGCAAACCAGGATGTGGTAGCAAAGAGATCTGTGTGAATGTATGATAACTACAATAGGCATTTCTAAAAATGCTCTAATTGGAAGGTATGTGATTTATTCATTGATATAATAATGTAGAAGTATATTGGTATTATAAGCATATATCTAACACACATTTATCTTATCATATTAATCACCAGAATGAGACTGGATACGGCTATCTAGAGTGGTGTGATGAAATTCTAGGTGAATATAGGAAACATGTGGTTAAAAGGTTCGTGTCTCAGAGGTTAGATGTTTATGTTTCTGATGGAGTAGATGCATCTTTATCTGAAAAAGAGAAGTGCAAATCTGTTGCTATAGTCCATGAGAAAGCAGACCTTCAAAAAATTATTCTCATATGTGTAATTTTATTTTTGATATTTATGTTTGCTCTCCTATTTTTTGTAAAAAGAATGGGTATATG